AGCTGTTGCACTGTACTCTAGGATGCCCTAACAACCTTTGAATCCTTTGGGCAATTTAAAACTGGGTGTGGGAGAAGGAGATCAAGTCCGATTTCCATATTCCCTTGAAGGAGTGTGGAGGTGAAACGTGGTGGTGAGCAGCACCGACACGGCAGCCTGTGCCCCATCCGTAAGCTTATCGCTCCGAGCAGGAAAGAGAGAGACAAGGTGATAACTCTGTAGAAAAAGGACTTTTTTTTTTTTTTTGCTTTGAATGTAAAGCAAAAATGTGAAAACCTGGCGACGTGCATTATGAAATGGTCCTGGCTACCCACACGGAGTTTAATTTCATTCATTAATCAAAACTGCAGAGTGAAGGGGTAATGCTGACGTTTTGTTCATTAAGCCGTGCGCACAGGTAATGCTGTTGTGAACCTTGTGTATCCTAGTAGTTCTGCAATCAACCCGTTGAAACAACGAAAACTACAAAATGCCAGATTAAATGAGAAGTGGCAAAGTGCAACGATGTCTACTGAAACAGGATACTTAAAGCACCTGTTATTATTTTAGGGTTATTATTAAAAAACAAAAGAATGTTTTGAAAACCAGCCCAACCAGCTGGTGATTTGTGTCTTATTTTTATTGTTCTGATATTGTAGGTTTTGGGGTTTATTCTTCTGTCTTTAATGATTTTAAAATAAAATGCAGAAGCTTTGGTTTTGGGAAGGTACCTGGCACTAGCCTTGGATACAGACTGGTATTGGAACGGTTGCAGTAACTTACTGTTTCCTCTGTTAAATCTGTAACTGAATACACAAATTTCTAATCGAATATACCAAGAATGACGGCGATGAATAGGATTAAGTAAACTCCCATTTGTTTGAGGCTTTTCCTTAAACAAATTTACAGAACAAATCAAGCTAAAAATACTCTTGAGTTGAGTTGGGTTCTGGCTTTGAGAGCTTTATTTGTTTTAGTCGTGGTCTATGAAAACAACTCAGCTGACCTGTTTTATGGGGTTAAAAGTCGGGAGGGTTCTCAAAGGGGTGGTGTGAAGACTTATTTGAAAATCTGAGAGAGGGGGCTGAACAAAAGGATTTGGAGTCCCCTTTGAGGGGTAATTTAAACAAGCAGGAATTAAATGCCTGTTTTAAATGGCAAGAGAATATCCTCAGGAAAGAAAGGGGAGTTTTGTCTTGAACTGAGGATTTTATTGGACTCTGTTATGCCTAAGTTTGCTCACCCTGTAAACACCAAGCGCAAAAATCATCTGCTTCTGCTGATGCAAAATTTCAGCCATTGCTAAAAGCGATCAAGATCATGTGTTTACGTCGCGTAGCCAGGACCTTTTGCTGGCCCAGCTCTCCTCCAAATGTGTTCCCTGTTCCTCCTCTGTTCCCGAGAGGAGAGGAGCGTCTCGGGGTCCCGAGTGCCCGCCACTCAGCTGCCAGCCCCTTCCCACTCCACAGCCACCATTAGGGCAGCGGTTTGCAGTGCGTGGAGAAGCTCCTCTTTATGCAGGGAGGTGGAATTTAATGCCCGTGCCGGAGGTGATTCGTGCTGCTCCAGGGTGACGGTGATCTCCTTGGATGTGATTGAGGCAAGGCAGATAAATATCAGCTGCTGCTTGCTGTGATTATTAAAATGCGAGGCTGAAATAGCCGTTGTCGAGCCTTCGGAATTAACACAGCACTCACTATTAAGGTTAGAGTCTTGGAAAGCTGTCAAAAATGATCTGTTTTCCTCCAGATTTACTCAGTTGGTAATGGCACAATTTAAATTCATACTGTAAGGCAGTCTGATTTGAGTGCAATTCAGCTATTGTATGTATCCAAAATGCAGTGACTTCAATATTTAATGAATTGGCTTCTGTGTTATCTGTGCTGGGTTTTAATTTAAAAGCATTGTCGTCTTCAGAGACGGCAAAGGAGCAGCTTTATTTGAAATCATATTCATGGAGCAGAGGGAAATGACTGGCAAAAAAATCATTTCAGTGCGGTACCGAGGTAGCCCTGTTTAAGAAACCACTGAAGAGACATCGTGGGATAATAACATTTACAAATCTCAGTTGGATTCCAGCTTATCTGTTTATATTGTATTGATCCCTGCTCCAATATTTACAAGGCTAATAATATGCAAAGGGATTTTCTTCCTGCCCTAACAAACCAAATTTCTAGAACAGGTTTCTAGTGTCTCCGCAGCCATATGACTCTTAATTGATAACGCTTTTTGGAATACCCGCTTGGGAGATACCTTTCTTAAATTTCAGGTTTAGCTGTCTTTGTTTTAAGGAAAATCCTTTCACCGTCATTGCTGTGAAAAGATACAGAATCAATTCCGAGGGTCGTGAGGCTGCCGGAAACAAGCTGCCTCCCGAGTAAGTAAGCAAGAAATCCATTTTGTTTACTGAATCTTGGCTTGGCGTATTAGCTTTTCCGTAAGATGGAGCGGTCATCAATTCTCCATTAGTGCACAGATGGTGAAAGCGCTCGTCTGATAGTGCACGACGAGCCCCTCCGCGTTGGGCGGAATCAAATCCTGCTAAACCGCCAGAAAAAATCATTCCCATTCTGAGAAGCTTGTAAGTGTTACAGGCACATTTTCTTTGGGTAATCAAGACAAACCTAAGACAACAACGTTAGAAAACAATAGCGTACCTACCTCTTGTCTGAAAGGATGCTGAAAGAGCGCTGTTCTGGTCCTTTTTTTTTTTTTTTTAATGCAGCCTGTGGTACAGCTAAGATGGAGCTTTCCTTCCATTGGCCAGAACACGCTGCTGCTGACAACTTCCTTTATGCTCATTTGCATCAAACCCTCAACCCCAGGAGTAAATCATTCATAAATCTGACTCGCGCTGCTCTGGATAAGAAACAGAACCCCTTTACCCCCTCTTGTTTTTTGGGGTGCTCCGGGTGACCTTTTTAGCGGAGAAGCCCTGCTTGGCTTTGCGCTGGGAGAGCAGCCGGGCAAACCGTGGCGTTTGAAACCTTAAAATCTACGGATTTCCACCTTTGCCGTGCGGTTAGATTTACTTGTTGTGGGCTGCGGCAGGCTGTAGCCAGGCAGATTAAACAAGATAATCTCCTTGATTCAATTGACAGAACAAATGCACGATGAGTCGTCTTAACTATTTGTTGTACCTCTGGATTGTTCTTTTTTTTCGTGGCTTTAGACCTCTCGTTGCACGCGTGATTGTTTTATTTATAAAACGTCCTGCCTAGACATGAATTTTTCATGATAAAAGGGAAAATCCCTGTAGGCTGTATTGTCAGGGGAGGCTGGCTTTTTTTTTTTTTCTCCCTTACTCCATCTTAATTTAGTAACCAGAATAAAATGTTCTTCTGTAGCTGGAGTTAAACTGATTGTACTATGTTAATTTTAGAATTATTGCCCTTTGTAAAGCCTCTAAGACAATGTCATGTGACAGCTTCACAACTGCCAGTTGCCAGCTATGAAGATTCGCATTTGCTCCTTCGGCGCTGGGTTTTTTGCTATAGAATCATAAAATCATAGAACAATTCAGGTTGGAAAAGACTTGGGATCATCGAGTACGCGACTACCAGTTTCCATGAAGTCTCCCCAATAATTATTGGAAGTGGATTTGTTTGAAATTTTACTACATCCAATATTCCTGCTTTGTCGTTGCCTTTTATAGGGACTTACAGATCATCTCAGAAGTAGGTTGAGAAGCGACGGGACAGGAAATTCACCTGAATTGGGAAACCGTGCTCAGAGTTTTCTGTGAACGGCTTAGTGAGGGCACCTAGATTTAAATACAGGCACTCCAGCAGACTTTCTCTAAGTTTACATGGTGGTGGGTCTTCGTCAGTCATCTCGGGTGCAGTTTGTAGAATATTATGGTCTTCATTTTCTTCTTCCTTTTACCACCCGCGTGAGCCCTTCCACTCATTAGCACCAGCCCCATCCATATCCCCCAGCTGCCCAGCAAAGATTATGCTTAGCAACCTCTCCTTCACTTAACTTTCATTTTTCTTTTCTCTCCCTCGTGTTTTTTCCGCAGAAATAATAGGTGTTCAGTATCCCTGAGATACCTACAGGCCTGTCATGTGATTAGAAATCACCAGTGGATTAAAAAATTCTTACGGTGACCAAGAAGGAATGTTCTTTTTCTGGAGTAGCTGAAATTCTGAAAAGCCGTTGACCATTGCGTTTGAGCAACGTTACGCAGCTTTAGTGGGCTTGTGGCTTTCAGTAGTGGTTTGTGGATATTTCTGTTTAATGTGCTGTGCTAATAGCTACAGTTAATGAAATTGTTATTGTTACTAAGAACCTTGCAAAAAATTTTGAAACAAGCTTTACACGGTAGCAAACCTTATGATACATTAAGACAGAACCAGACTTGGCAACAGAGGGATTTCTTAATTGTTGCTCCAATTTAGAATTTGTGTTGGGGATTTTTTAACTACTTCAAAAAAACAATAATAAAAAAGTAGCCCGGCACAATAAACACTTACTTTATCTGGTGTGTAGCTGCTGGGTACCTTTTGGTACTCATCAGTTTGCTCCTATCTCAGTAGCACAAAGCAAAAATGCAGTGTATTATTTCAGCATAAGTTAACATAGAGTCAAATAATCTATGATGTGTTAAGCCACGTAATTAAAGGTGTATTCTTACAGTATTCTTACCCACTCACGTGTCCTTGTGCGGAGTCCTCTGAAGTTGGTCAGTCCTGCAACACGTGATTCTGTTTAGAGTTGTCCTCCTGAAAACTTGTGGATGTAGAGGGAGGAAGAAATGGAGTGCAGAGCCCAGAGGGTGTTGTTCAAAGCGACGCGCAATTGTTTGTTGTCATAGAATCATAGAACGACATAAGCTGGAAGGGACCTTACAGATCATCTAGTCCAACCTCCCTGTCGTGGGCAGGGACGCCACCTCTCAGCTAGACCAGGCAACACATGGGGACTGAGTGGGAATCGAACCCACGATCTCGGTGTTGTCATTGTTGTCAGCATCGCGCTCAACCCACTGAGCTAACCGGCCCCTATTTCTCCTTTTGCAGATCACAGCAATGGATCGTTTAACCTGAAAGCCCTTTCAGGAGGCTCTGGCTACAAGTTTGGAGTCCTTGCTAAAATAGTGAATTATATGAAGGTATGGTGTTTTGGTGTAAAATTCTAACATTTTTAAAGTACCTTACTTACTTATTCTCCTGTCATAGCTGGCAGATACTGAGTGTTTCCCACGCTAAAAGTCTTCTACTGCGAGAATGAGAATTTCAAGAAATTTGCTTTTTAAATTCAAAATGCTGTCGGTAAACAAAATAGTCAGCATCTTGTTCCATGACTGAAATCCTAATTATTCCAGTTCACTTGAAAAAAACCAGGATAATGCTTATTATTTGCTTTAGAATTAGGAATTGCAAGATGCTGTCAGCTTTTAGGATTCATGAGCTGTTTATCAAAATAATGTGTTGTTTAGTGCTTGACACGTGACTTTGTCATCAATCTCAGCTGATACTAATTTTTTTTCCTCATATTCTCCAAAACCGTAAATTGAAACTCATATGCTATGTGTACTGTGTCTATCCTGGTTTTGCAAAAGTTGTTTTGTCATGACATTATACTAATTTTAGTTACTTTCTAGTAACTGAGTCACGGAACGAAAGAGATGCAGAACTCTAACAGACCCTATTTACTTTTCCAGACCAGGCACCAGCGTGGCGACACACATCCATTAACCCTAGAAGAGATTTTGGATGAAACGCAGCATTTAGATATTGGACTCAAACAGAAACAATGGTTAATGAGCGAGGTAAAGAAAACACATATTTAGATTTTAATTAGAGATAAAGGATTACAATAAACGTGGATTATGCACGTGGATTATTATATGAATATATAATCCCCTCTCTAAGAAACTACATTGATTCCCACGTCTATCTGTCTTGTACTTCCTACTGTTGAGGTAACTGTGAAATAGAAGCTGTTCTGGTATTTTAAAGACCTGTTAAGAGTTGTTGCACAGAGACCATATTCTATGTCAAGTGAATTTGTTCATTACAAAAAACCACAAAACGAGCCGTTTTTCTTAAGGAACTTCTTTCTAAAAGAATTTTGAGCAGAGAGTTCCTCCGTTATTGAGGATGTTAAATTAAGTAAATCAAAGGAGTATGGTACAAAATTCAGCAGAGTAGTAAAGGCTTTTGAGACATAGGAAACGAATCTCTGCATAATAAAAATAGGGTGGTTGTAACTAATACAGCCCGTAGCATTCCTTTGCTACCAGTACTAATATTCAGGGGTACAGAAACCTCCAGTCTGGCAGTATTGGTTGTGGTGGAAGCTTGACTTGGCTGAAGTCCATATGAGTAAAAAAATGTGTCTCTATGAGTAAGAAATCAAGCAGAGGAGGCAGGAGACCTGCAAGGATGAGTAAGGCTCTTGTGGAAGAACTCAGATGGAAGAAGGAAATTTACAGAATGTGGAAAACAAGACTGGCCGCTAGTGAGGAATATAGGAGTGTTGTCAGAAAATATAGGGTTGCAGTGAGGAAAGCTAAGGCCCACCTGGAATTAAATCCGGCAAGGGGTATGGAAGACGACAAGAAGGGTTTTTTTCAGTATATCATCAGAAAAAAGAAGACCAGGCAAAGCGTGGGCCTGCTGATGAAGGAGGTGGTACCGACTGCACAGCAAAACTGATTCGGAGCTTATCTTAAATCATTTCAATTGTTCATAAATTTGTCAATTGTCACCTTCCCTCTGAAGGTGGCGTCATAAGTCAAATGCTGTTGTGCCAGAGATCTGCTCTTCCCAATTTCTTCTACAGCAGTTGGCAAAGACCGACTCCTGGTTTTTTGTTCATCCCAGGTTGATGCTTTTCACGTTTGTAACATCCCTATGACCCGAGCCTGATAGCGGCGTTGCGCGTTTGCACTTTATATTCAGTCAAAGTACCCTTTTCCGTATTCCCTCTTCTTTTTATTTTCATTCCTTTCTCAAGAAGGAACACGGGCAACTTTCTGCCCTAAGAGGCTTCACGGACCTGTGAGCGCAAAGGCATTAAGTGAATGGTGTTAAGCCTCCTTTGGTGCTTTATGCTTTATGTTGTGGGGAATTATGCCTAGGCTGGTGGATCGAGGATCCAAGGATTTAAAATCCGTTTCAAGCTCAAATCTCCAAACTGGCAGCTGTAGCGTGTGGCTGATGTGCTGTAGCTGCTCAGGAGCACGCTAGGAAGAAAGAAAAAAAAAGTACTAGTGTCTGCTCTTTTTCAGGGTTTAAAATTTATGTCTCTATTACAGGCTCTAGTCAACAATCCGAAAATAGAAGTTGTAGATGGGAAGTACGCTTTCAAACCCAAGTACAACTTGAAAGATAAAAAGGCTCTGCTCAGGCTCTTGGACAAGCACGACCAGCGAGGGCTGGGAGGAATCCTTTTAGAAGATATTGAGGAAGGGCTGCCCAACGCACAGAAAGCTATAAAGGTGAGTAGCACGTGTCTGTGATTCAGCGAGCCCGTTCCGGTCAGCTTCTCAAAGTGGAACTAGAGGCTAAGAGAGAATTTTCTCAGGAGTTATTTCTGTTCTTCTGATAACTCGAAAGCTCTTTCAGAAAATCTAATACCATAGCTTTTTCTCTATTTCATCCTGAACTTTCAGATTTAGCACAGCTGTCAAAGTTCTTTCTCACAAAAGACTCTTGATCTCCCACATTGCAGCTGTAGGCATTTAGTTCTGCTTTTATACCTTGATCTCAGTCCTCCGTATCTTATTTTTGATTTATTGGTGTGCTTACCATCAGCGTCTGCTTTGGATGCTTTTCACTGCCAGTTAATTTGCTGCTTCTGTGATTTGTTGTGCTTTTTGTAGCACAAGTCTTGGGTCTGTGGTTCGAGCTGGAATACGTATTCTTGGAAACGAAGTGATTTTGAGCTGTTCTTTTGCATTTGTTTTCGAGGCTTTAGGGGACCAGATCATCTTTGTTAATCGCCCTGATAAGAAGAAAATTCTTTTCTACAATGACAAGAGCTGTCAGTTTACTGTGGATGAAGGTAGGTGGTTTTTTATGTTTCCATGACAGTCAATTTGAATCCATCTTAAGCATCCATATGTATAAGCAGTCTTCAGGTATAGCAGTTTTGAGGTGTAGCAGTCTGTTAACGTGATAATGAAATATTAGTTATATCCAAATTTCAGGAGAATGATTGATATTAACACGTGGCTAATAAGACTAGGGAGTGAGTTCAGGAGCAATATCCTCTGCTTTATAAAGGATGTGTTGGAACATGGCACCAGGATTCCAGCGACTCTCTTCAAGTGGAGCAATAAAGAAGAGACTAAAAATCACCGGTGACTCAAATGGCATCTATCGTTTTGCTGGTAAAAAAAACCCAAACCCAAACAGTGGAAGAATGGCTCCTGGGTGCAAGTGTGTTGGATTTTTTTCCGATTTATTAGTCGTGTGGCTTTTATTGGTGAATGTGACAAGCAGCCACAAATGGAACAGGAGGAGGAAGCCAGGAGGGAGAAGATGTGAGCAAAAATCCCGAGAAGGGGTAGTTTACAACTGGGAGGAGAGCACAGATGTGGGGTAGTGCTGCTGCCTAGAGCTGGAGCGCATTTGGGACTTCAGAAGCTTGGCATGTGTTCTGCGCTTGACAAAGAGCGGTAAATTCCTCTGCTACGATGTGCCTGTTCATGCACAGAAATTAGTTACGTGTACTGGGTGTGCTCCAATAATGACATTTATGCCTACATCAAATGCCTGTAGGTACAGAAAGGAGAAGACAATCTGTGTCAAAAGCTCTTAGTTTAAGTGATTCAGTGCCACCAAACACCATTGTTAATATGATTGTTCTTGCAACGTGCTAAGTAAGGCCATCCTACCCTATAAAGGCATGTTACGGTAAAAAAAAGGGAAGAGTTTTAATAGAAACTCGAACTGCTCTGTTTACAGGACCATAGGACATAGCCTAAAGCTCTGTTTTTTCTTTGATTAGCTTGGAGCTTTCAATAGGATTAAGCAACTGGAAACACGTATCGTTAACTTATTTGTTATGTGCCACACATGTACTCTCAGTAATAATAGCTTTCTTCCCCAAAGATGATTAAGGAGATGTGACATACAACATCTAAAAATTTAAAAAATATTTCAAAATATTGAGGTGAATCTCTTTTGAAACTGTAATTTCTGTCGCTTCTTGATAGTGGCGGTCGGAACTGTATGTGAAATGCAAAATTATAAGCCTTCAGTCTGCATTCGCTGGGGAATTTCTAGCTTCTCAAATGCCTCTCTGAGTTTACCCTTGGCACTGTCATCCTGTTCAGATAGTGTCTCCTTCAGCCCGTCAGCTTTCAGGGATTCGAACGTGGCCAAAACATTTAGAAATCAGTGCTGTTGCAATCACTTTTAAGACAAAGCTTTTGAAGTTTCTAGGACCTTCTTGTCTGTACTACAGTCAGGAACACTGATGGTTTGATCTTGAGTAATTTTTCCAGGTAACTGGCGCCCAGCCATCCTAAAGAGTTGTCAGATAGAGATCTCTACCCTGTTATTCGTAGTAACTGTGGGATTAACCGTGAGATTTAATCAAAGAGCTCATTTTATTAATACGCAGCAAGAGACGTCTGCCAACTCTTTGTCAGGCAGCCACTAGAAATCCAAGGCTGTTCATACACATCATACACAGCGCTGATCTCTGTTGAGGAGCAGGCAATGCAGTCTCGTGCTATGGAAAAATAACCTCTAAAACCCCTTGAAACAAAATGTTTAAGCCGGTTGTCTCAATCTCCCGATGGAGATTTAAGCCCGCGATGTCTGTGATGTAGGGATCGCTAGTGTGCAGCTTGTTTGTAGTTCAAGGTAGCTTTCCTTTCTTTTATCCGCAGGTGGCAGCACGTTCCCATCTGATCAGAAAGCGATTTTTTTTTTTTTTGGTCTATTCCTGCTAGGTTTGTTTTTATTTTTCATACGGGTGAGGATGCTTTGTTCTGAGAGGAGGCAAGAATGCTTTCTCTTGTGTGAATTTTGCAGTCTGCCTGCATATGCCACCACTCTTAAAGCATCCCTGACTGCATTCGCTTCCCCTTTCCAACCCTGTTGTCCTGGGAAGAGGAAAACTCATCCTTCCCAACCAGTTTTGCTTTACGATTCCTTGCAGAGCACCAGAAGTATGTCTCTCAGAGAGTCACTGGCAGAATTGTCAGCGTACGGGACGAGTTATGACACGTTTCTGCATTAGCGGTGCTGTTTCACCTCATTATCTCCAGCAACGTTAAAACCAAGTTTTTAGAAGACTGCAAAATAAGTGTTGTCAGATTCTTTGAACTAGCAGCTGATGACAGTTCAAAATATGTTTCTAGTTTAATGTTTATCCTTAGAAATAAGAAAAAAATGCGTGTGATTCTGCCACATGACACTCTCCGGCTGCAAACACATGTTGGCTGGGATTAATATCCTCAAAAAGTTCGGCCTCTTCTCCCATCACCCTCTGAGCTCCATCCTGAGAAAGAAGAGCTTAGGAGCTTGCTGTCTGAAGTAGTGGGAGACGCAGCTTTCTGGCAGTGCCTACGTCTGCCCCTGCTGCAGTTGTTTTGATGGCTGAGCAAGCTTTTCTTTCTCCCCTTTGGAAAATAAATCCCACTGTGCTGCAGCAGCGGTGCGGTACCTATATATCGTGATCTCAGGGGTTACGGGAGAAGGTTTTCTCAGTAAGGAACGGCTTTTGTTCTTCCTTTTATGCGATTAGCTGAGGAGGGTTCAGATTGCATGTGTTCCTTCTTGACTTCCTGACTAATTAATCTTCTGTCAGAAGCTGAAAGTGTTTATAAAAGCCAGGCTAGATTTCAGGTGCTTCAGCCAAGCAAAGTCCTGCCTCTTTGTGCTGGGGCTAAGCACTTTGCCTGTGAACCAAGCTTCTCCCCCACAAGCCACCTGAATTGCTGAAAGGCCAGTCTGGTAGAGATGGTGTCTTTCACATCTGAATGCAATGTGGGAAGTGTTTTAATGCCTAAAAACTCGGGTACTTAATTATACACGTTTTTTAATATTTTTTCCTAAGCACTTCTGGAGAGAAAGAATGGCCAAACCCTCTGAAATTTAAGAGTATAAAAATTGCTTACGATCAGCAATGATTTAGTGCTCTGGCTTTGAATTTCAAGGTGGTTCAGGGGCAGCAGGCTGTTAGGAAGCAGGACTTGATCTTCCCTGCTTCTCAGTTGCTCCTTCCGTTCTGCCTTGTTATTACCTGTTCGTGTCCCGTGCTTAGATTTTGGCTCAGCTCAGTGAAGATTTTTAAGCTGTTTTTAATCTCTGCCAGATTTTACTACTGGTGTGATACAGCAATTTATCTCCAGAAGCCATCTCGACCTATTTGCAGGAGCACACGAGGCAGTCAGAAGTGCAGGATGAGCTGCGCTGGAGTCACCATGCAGCCCTTTACCCATGACTTTGTTCCTCACATGGAAGCATTTCCAGAAAAGGGAGCATGTTAAGAGTATAATCACTCAGGCAACGTTGGTGTAAATTATTTTACTATGAGAGGGCCCCTTGTAACACAGTCAAGTCGAGGTAACTGTGCATCCTTACCCCTTGGGTGTTTTTGAGAGAGAAGGTGTTAGCAGAATCTTTGTTGTGCTGCTCTCTGCTTCACTGCCCATTGGTTACTGCTCGACAAAACTCATTGTTTTAAGTCTGTGTACATGATGCTGGAGATATTAGCAATCATCTAAACTGGCCTTTCAACCAGCTGCTCTCATGATTCTATGACTCCATCCTCTTCGACTTCTAGGGAAGATCTGAGTTGGCCTCAGGACTTGAAGGCTCTGCTGAGAACGCGTGTGTCTCCTTCAGCAGCACCTGCATTGCTTTGCCCAGAAACTCTTTGGAAATTTGTCCCCAGGAGATCTTTTTCTGGGCTCTGTCTGATCATAGCAGCCTACACGGTAGGAGAGATCGTCAGATTGTCTGAATGCAGCCAGCTGTTGGTCAGGTGAAGCCTTAATGTCTTCACTGCCAGTCAGGTGTTGTTTTTTTTCCTTCCGTAGCCGTTATACACTTGTTCTGGCTGATCTATCAAATAGTTTAGCCGTTCTAATAGAAGAGGCTCTCGCTTTGGCTGTGCTCTGATGGTGTAAAAAATCACCCTAGCTGTTGACAGGACGTGGAGCAGGAAAACTGAATGTGCTCAGTAGTTGCACTGGTTACATGCGCTGCAGGAATGTGTGCATCTGAACCTGTTCTCCATGCCTGGCTGAAGCAGGCCAGCATGCGGTGAGCTTTCTGCTCCAGCAATTCCCTCCCTGAACCTCACACCGGTACCAGACTCCCTGTGCCCTGTCCACAGAATTTAAGAAAAAAACACCACAGACCTGTAAAAAATGGATTGAGTGTATTGAAACCATCTCTAGGAACTCTGTCACTGTCACTCTGTGTCACTGTTTCTGCTCTTCAGATACACCAGCTCATGACAGCATTTTCTTTTCTATCTCTTCCCCTCCCCAGAGACAGGCCCACTATACCCACGGACACTGCTTGAGGGGTGGTGGAGCACAGAAGTTGGGTCGTTTTGTGACATTTCCTCCTCTCTGGCCTCTCTTCTGAGCTACTGCTTTAAGAAGTGGTGACCCCTTTCGCTTGGAGCCACGCAGCGAAGGCCAGGGTGACAAACTGGAGAAATCTCTTTCTGTCTTAGGTCAAGGGTGTGAATTTTGAGGAGCAGAAATACCGCGGCTACCGGAGGCAGGGTTGTTTCTTCAGAGCTGTAGTTCTTGCCAGCTTCTCCCGTAGGTTCTCATATTTCAGAGAGGATGTCACAATAATCCAGATAGCGTGTTCCCAAGGTCTTAACTTTCACTTGCTGATAGGAGCGTAGTCCTCAGAGACTTCCAAGTAAATCTGACAGGTAACCTGGAACTGGAACTGGAAGCCAGGCAGCTTCCCTCTTTCCTCAGTTCTTGCATTTAGCTCGGTATCTGGTGTTACACCAAATCGGTTTCGTGACAAGATGATAGATGTGTCTCCTTTTCCCTTTAGATGGCACCCAAAATGCAGACAGCTAGGATGCACTGCCCTCTCTGAAGGGTGGCAGCTCTGGACGCTTCTCCACCTTTATCCCCCGCTTTTCATTATGAACCAATCCTTTTAACACAAAGTATTTCCACAGAGTGGGGGAACCCTGTTGTTGTGACTCCCTCCGCTGTCCTGGGCTATAAGGTATGTTTATGCCCTACAAGGAGCTTCGTTGTGTGAAGAAGGTTCTTTTACAATAGCACAGAAAGCAGCCTGATCTATGAAAGGATTTTTAAGCAGAGTTGCAGAGTGCTGTATAGTGACTCTGGTGGGGCCAATTAGTGGATTAAATTATCTCTGTGTAAAGTCCCCGTCAGCTTTGCGGTTTTTGTTCTTGGTGACTTTTACATTCGTGCTTCTTGGCCAAGTTTAAAAGGTGAACGTGAAGCTGTAATGATGGTAAAACCGCTGCATTACAAGAAATGCAAAACGCTGCAGTTAGGTATTAACTGTGGTCTGCACTTCTGTGCATGTTGATCCTTGAAGAGCTGGCCATTTATTTTCTAGTGTTTAATTTTTCACTTCTGTTCCCCAGAAGAATGTAGACCGGTTTAACCTCAAGCACCTAGCCTCAGCCTTTTTTTTTTTTTCCCGCACTGGGGCATAACCGTGTTTGCAGCAGAACATTATACATAAAAGGACACTGTCATGTAAAAGCTTAGAGTTGTCAGGTCTCTCTTCATGTGCACATGCCTGTGGTGCATCTTGGAGGACTGACCTGCGTCTCCTCAGCTCCCACAGCCAGTCACAGCAGCATAGCACAGCACAGCCTTCCTCTAACCAGGATCTGTTTAACAGTCAGTGCAGCCGTGTAGCTTCATGTGTGAACTGCAGAAACGCAGGTTTTGAAACGTGGTTTCTTGCCAAGTGGCATAAACTGCATTTATGTAACTTCATGTATGAACTGCAGAAACGCAGAATTCGAGACATGGTTTCTTGCCAAGTGGCATAAACTGCATTTGGACACCCCGATTCATCTTTCCCAGCACCATCGGGCTCTCGGTGTCCAGCTTGTGTATTCAGGACGGGGAATGAACAGGAAAAAAAAAATAGCTTGGAAGAGCATGCCCTGCTTGATCCGGAGGGTACGATGGGACCCTTGTGCTGTTACGGCTTCTATCTGAATTCTCGTTGCCGCGAATCTCTCTTCCACATTCAGCTTTGATCACGACACAACCTTCTCCACCTGCCCCAACAGGATTAGGTGAGAGGTGATCTGTGATAGCAGGCACCAAAAAAGCCTGGAATCACACTCGGAATGGATGAGGAGACAGAGAATGTCTTGACTGCAGTATCAGTCCTTGCATTTAAGTTATCTGAAAGCTGCAGTCCCAGTGATCCTGCTGTGCTGTAGCACCTGTACAAGGAACAGACTGAGCGCTGTCTCTCTGTAGCCGAAAGCGCTGTTCTCACATGATTTAGTTCTCTTCAGAAACACTGCGTTACCAAAAATGAGCATCGGCGTTCTTCACGGGTGAAATTTCTTTCTTTGGTTTCCTGGAAAGCTTGAACAGCCCCTTGCTGCTGGCTGTGGGAAGAAAAGAAAGACCTGAGACTTAAAGCCTGTGCGTTCATAAAAAACCAGAGATGCTTGAGGAAGGAAATTGGTCCAAGTGCCGGAACCACGTCTGCTACGTACGCCTTTTGTACAGGGTGGTTTTGTGGCAGCGTGTCTAGAGCCGGTGTATCCGTGGCAGACCATCGCTGGCGTGTTTTATCGCCCGCTGCGTAGAACAACTTCTTAAGCATGCAGAAGTTGTGGTTGTTTTGACAACTGTATACTAAATTTATCTGGAAATAAAGGGAAGAAAAATGTAGTCTTGCGTTGCTATGTGCGCCTCGTGTTTTATTTATAGTCTGTTAGCCAAACCTGCTGACAGGATATATCTAACTTACTGCCTGGGGAATGAAGGGAGGTAGGATTGTACCAGCCGCTGCCTGGAGAAGGCATTCCAGAGGCTCTGTGAAACTTTACATGAGGCAGAAAGTGTGCAGGCAGATGGCAGCTGCTCTAATTAAGACTTAGTGTCTCTGTCTTTTTTTTTCTGCTGCTGTGGCTTTTAAGGTATCTGCCTTCTTTTTAACACCAGAGGAATTTTAGTAATTTATTATCTGTACGGCACGGCCTGTATTATATTACAGTGATAAACGAGCGTAAACCCACTGAAGTAAACGTCTTGAATCTTCAGTAAATCGGACTCTGAGATGACAAGTCTCCCAAGACAATGGCAGCTGAGGATGTGTAAATGAAGCTGCCATTTATGGTTAGTTATTGCCCTTCACATAGATCTTTTGAACTGAGGCTTACAAAACGCGTCGACAAGTCTACACGGCTATAGAGACACTCAGCAAAAAGAGAGACTCCGTAGCAAATTAACATTAAAAGCACATGTTGCATTCTCCTGATGCTGAAGTGCAGTTAGCACAGAGTCAGGGTTTTTTGGTTGAGTTATTGGGGATTTTTTTGGGAATCCATCAGGCATTTGCAGCGGGTAAAGGCTGTGCTAACTGGGTGCATGCTGGTGGTGACCGCTGCATCTCTACCAATAAGACCGAATCCTTTTGCGTTTAAAATCAAGTCTTGGGGGTTTTTTTTCCCTTCATGTGGGAGTTTTGCCAAGGGTTTGTTCATTGGGATGTAAAACGAAGGTTTGTTTGGTGTTTCAGAGTTTCAGAAGCTGTGGAGGAGCATTCCCGTGGATTCTATGGATGAAGAGAAAATCGAAGAGTACCTGAAACGGCAGGGTATTTCTTCCATGCAAGAAACTGGACCAAAGAAAATAGTAAGAGATACAAATTACAGATCTTCCTAGGGCATTCCCCCTTCTGACTCTGCAGTGTTAATTCCAAAATAGGCTGGGGAGCCTATGCACAGCTGCTTTGTGTAGCTCGGGGAACTGTGACCAATTTTAAGAAGTTGCAAAAAACAATGCTGTAGCCAGCAGTCAGTGTTTCTGTAACTTGTTTGAGCCAGTGTAATCCAAGCAGCATCAGGAACAGGACAAATGCCAGAAGTCCCTGTGAGCTCCACAGTGGAAGCTTCTGCTCGAAGCTGTACAATGCATTAGGAGTAGAACTTTTTTGGGAGAAGGGTGGGGTTTTTTTAACTTTCTCTTTTCTGCTCGAGAGCTTGGAAATCCTGATGGGAACCGTGTGACATGCCTCTCACCACACACATGCTGTTCTCCAAACTGGGTGCAATATGCACGTGTTTTACTGGGAGGCCAAAATGCCTGCAAGCTCTTGGAAGATGCTTCCTGACTTCGTACAATTATTATTTTTTAACATTTATTTGTACGTGAAACACTCTGTGTTTTCCCTTCTGCACTTGGTTTCAACTGTCTTTCTGTGAGAGTCCTTCCACACAGGACTTGTTCCTGGTTTCTGCTGCTCATTGGATTAGATGCTAAATTATATTCTGTGTTCTCAGTTCCTTGAGCACTTAATTATGGATGGAATTATGGGGCACGTACCCGCTTCCGTAGCTGCGTGGGAGTGTTTGGAAGCGTCACTTATAATTACACATCAGCTTTACCGTGGCGCTCGCGAGAGGGAGACTCTGCTCTGTCCCTGAGGTCATCTCCCTGCTGGATTTGAACTGAATGCTGTTGCTTCTTGCAAAAAAACAAACAAGCACCTTCCCCGCCTGCTCAACCCTGGTTCAAGCGAGGCTCGTTTATGTGGAAGCAACGAGGAGCCTCAGCGTCACAGATCGGGTCAGATGTCACAGCTGGAGGGCAGGTCTTTTGACTACTGTTTATTTCTTCTCGTAGGCTCCTATTCAGAGGAGGAAGAAACCAGCTTCTCAGAAGAAACGTCGATTTAAGACTCACAATGACCACTTGGCTGGAGTATTAAAAGATTACTCTGATGTCGTTCCCGGCAAACAGTGACCAGTTAAATTCTGGAGCAAACGTGCGTTTTGATAACGGGCTTTTTGCCACTTGAGCTCGGTGTCTGCTCGCAGAAAGACTGACTGTATATAGTAATGTGATGTGTTTCCCCCATCCCAGCCACTGCCAAGATGAAACAGGTCAGTGTAAGATCAAGTATGAACTGCTAAATTTAGAGTTTAATTTAATTAGCTAATGGGAAACGTGGTTTTAACTAAAAAGTTCTCACTAGCTGCCTCTTGGCATAGAGTTATAAATGGTGCTCAGCATGTAATGCAGGAGTTCCCGTTCAGTGTTTAAACTCTGCTTTTACATTGCTTAATGGGTATTTACCTGGAATTACTTACAAGGAGCTTTCTAGTAGAACCGAATACAGTGGTCGTTTTACCTATATCAGGTAAAATCCTGATATAGGATTTTCCTGATTTTCCTAAAATCACTGCAGGCAAGTTGCTTGCACGGTGATGTACACCCACGGTTTTGTACGCTTCTTCCTTACCACGGGACTGAGCTTTTGCTCAACATTGATAATATCTGAGGCCCAAACTCAGAAAAAAACCTCTCCTGAGCTTCCAGCAGGCTGCAGGCTGGCAACACAACTGTAGCTTCCTGATGCTCGGCAGAAAATGCCCTCAGCGATTTCTCTTCCCTGTAGTGGACACACGTGTGTTGCACGCTTCTACACTACCGACAGGAGGGAAATAAAATGACAGTGTAATACCGAAGCAATCAGGGTTTTTTGAAAGTAATAAACGTACAATGCTGGTTTCCAGTGTTGCTTCCTTAAAAAAACCGAGAGAATCGATGTCTTTTGTGCTTGTTGCGTTTTCCTGTTCAACAGAGGTAAAGGAATCTTTGCTGTATTTATATCTTCTCAACGACTTATTGTCCTGGGCTAACGTTAGCTCGTTTTATCGTTCTTGGTTGGGGAGTTGAGAGGAGCCACCTTAAATGAAAGCTCCCTGTAGATGCCTCGCGGTTCTGTGCAGTACAGACTGATGTGGAATGTGGTCAAATTGTGTCCTCTTGATAACTTATTTTTTATGTACAGAACCAGAGTCAGTCAATGCTGATATTGTTTTCTTGGCGCTGTGGGAGAGGAGCTGTTTCCCTGCTCTTCTAGGGTTAGGATCAAAGATAAAATAGGTGCCTGCGATATCCCACCACCAGCAGATTGCTGCTGCCTGCGTGTGAGCTCTTGGTAGGATGTTTCTTCTATTATTTTATGTATATTTCGTGCTTTATATATATATATACAGGGAAAAGCATGCTGCTCCAGCTGGTTTTGAAACTGTTTTTCTTTCCTATATCTTCCAGGTCAGCACAAGTAAATTATCTCGGAGCTTTTGTTTTTTAGCGTTACAGCTCTGCTTTAAAGCACACACAGCACACTTAAAAAAAAGTTCACCTCTCTTCTGTCAGTTTTACTCCAAAAAAAACCAAAACAACAAAAAGCCCCAAACCAAAAAACCTTCCCTTCCATCTGCTGCATTTTAGAGCAGTGATTTTCTTTTTTTTGATGGTGGGACTTGGACAAGAGCAGCGCTTTTAATTGCCTTTCATACCTTTGGGGGATTTTATGGGACGACTTCCCAATCCTCTTATGTATGACTTTGTCCATGAACCAAAGCTTGCGAAGCAGACTGTAAGGTAGGCTACCTGTTCTGTTTCTCTGCTCAAGTGATTCAGATAATAGGGGAGTCTAAAGAAAATGCCTCCGGCTCCTTTCAGAGATGAAAAACGTGTTAGGTCAAAAAATAGGAGAGCAGGGAAGGAAGACTGAGTATCAACTCCATGTGCTGCGCTGACATTGTCAGGCTCCAGTGTTCAAAGGAGCAAAATGGTCCAGCTGATATCGGCTTAGAAAAACTGGATTCGATGCTTTGTAAAACTGGATTCGGTGCTTTGTCTCACTGGAAGAAGCCTTCTCCTCTGCCATACGAACAGGGAGGGTGTAGTAAGTTTTACGGCTTATGAGGGTACAGTGTCAAAAATAGGTGAAGGGAAGATCCCACTGACCTGTTAGAGGTGGCATGAAATATAGGCAAGCCGTTGTGAAGAAAACAAGTTCAGAAAATAAGCATCAGCTCCTCTCTTTTGTGTGTGTTTCAGGAGCTGGGTTTTGTTTCCTTGTCGAAGATGCTCCCCGTAGTCCTTTGCAGGGTTTTTCCAAGACCTCTTAAAAATCAAATGGTGCAACTTGAAAACGTCTCAGACTATATTAGCAGGAGTCTGTTTGCTGAAGGTGTTTTGGTAGCACTCCAGTCCACTTCATTCTCTTCACAGCGTTATGTCCAAATTGGACTTTTCACTGAAGTTCAGCATAAGAGTTCACAGCTGTTAATACCTTAAACCTACCCCATTCTGTGTCTGGAAAGATGGTTCTCCCGCTGGCTGAAACCATCATGCCCTCAGCTCGCTTTCTTTGGCAAAATCCTTCTTCCCTCAGTCTGGCAGCGCAAAGGGCTGCTGAGAGGCATCAGGCTCTCTCCTGAGAGCTGTGGGTCTATTACTCCATTTTTTTCTTCCTTCCCTGGAAGCATCTCCTGCTAACCAGGGAGATAAGGGGACTCAGGCTGCCTGTGACAAAAAATGTTTCAGTTGGAGGGGACCTGCAATGATCATCTAGTCCACGGCAGGCACCTTCGTCTTAGGCATTTCAGGAAGGCTCTTGGGCAAACCCATCTCAGCATGGTCTTTCTCTGTCCCTGCCAGGTGAGGACTTGCCTCTTCCACTCTGCTGAGGGATCAGGGGTTGCACTGGTCCCTCAGGAGTTTCTTCTCAGGACTTTATATGTGAACCAGACCTTTTATTTCCTCTGCTCCTCCTGACCCCCAAAATAAAAGTGCTGTTCTTTTTTTTTAAGGTACAAGTTGTCACATCTCTAAGTGTGGAGCTCTACTGGCTTCTCTTCTAAAAGTTGCTTGAACTGAAGAGTTATTCCACCTCGCCCGTTGTGATGATCATTCTGGAAGGGGATGGAAACCAGCAGGGTTTTGTATGGTTGAATGAGAAAACTGACATAAGGTGGTGTGTACCAGAGCTAATCTATAATTCATCGTGATCATTCAAGGCTTTTAGAGAGCAGAGGCGAGAGAGGCAAGGGAGCCCTGACAAGTGGTGTAAAGACCCCGCGCGTGGATGTAGCCAGCGAGGGCTGTCACTTCGGATGAGCGCGGGCAGGCGGTGCGGGGCCACTGGGGAGAGCTGGGCTCCCACTACCTGCTGATGAGGAGGGGCTGCGTTTGCAGATGACTAGAAGCAACTATGGTACTGACATCTCATTATTTCCAGCTTTGTTGCTTGCTTTCCGGTCGCTGCTAATGTTCCAGGCCCAAATTCCTTTGTGTGTTACTGCCTCGGGGGCCTCTGGCAGCTCTTGCATCTGGGGCAAGGAGGGGGGTGTCTGGTAGGGTTGAGTGCGTACTGTTGGCTGGTTAAGGCTAACTCCTAACAACAGTTGGGGAAAGGAGAGCTTGCACCCCAAACTGCTGGTTCTGGCTTTCTGCTGCTGGCAAAGTTAGGGATACGGTTGGATCGTTGTCGGCAAGAGAGGTATCAGCCTGAAAAAAGCATTCCTAGCTGCCTCAGGTAGCTCCCCAGCCTGGCTCTGGGGGTGTTTGCACCCTGGACCAACATTTTGTTGGCTTGCAAAAGGCCAGGTGGTTTGGGACTCGATCTCCTCCCAGAGGAGAGAGGGTCTTCTTCTGGGGTCTGTTTGTTCTGGCTCCGCAGGTACTTTCTGAACCGCATCTGTCCTGCGCAGGCTCTCCGGACACATCCCAGGGCTGGGAGCAGAGAGTGGGGAGCTGGGACAGCTCTGCTTGGAGAAGAGGCACCTGGGGCCATATCTAATCACGGGTACAGCCATGTGTGAAAGGACAGTTAGGAAGATAACATGGTCAAACTCTTTTTGGCAGCCATGACGTAATAGGGGAAAGTGTGAAGTTTGGCTTGGATATTAGGAGAAAAAAAAAAAAAAGCTGGTGGGGAGGTGTCTCCATCTGTGGAGGTTTCAGACATCTCCCAGACAAGACTAGGCTGCCCAAATCTCTTAGTGGTGACAGTCTTGTTGCAAGGAGGGTGGATCAGAGACCTCCTGTGACCCCTTTTTTCTCAAAGTGCTCCTGTAGGTCAGAGTCCCAGTTCCTACAGTGCTGCCCAGCTTGCCATAAGAGCAGTTCTTGTTTCTCTCTGGCTTGTTTTCTGCTGCTTTCGTTTGCAAGTGTGTGGCAGCCTCAGTGTTACCCAGCAGCCCCCCAAAAAACCAGCCGTGACTGAAACCCCATCAGTGCTTCTGAGGTTGGGACCCACGTGTTGGGCTCCACCAGCCTCACGGGTTGGGCATTGTGCAGAGTGCAAGCACAGCAGGGAAAAGGATGGTTGAAGCAGGAGGTTATCCTTCCATTAAGTTAATTTTTTGACTATACCTGCACTTCTGGGCTTACATCCAAGGCCTGAAGTACTTGCGCGATTTCATCCTGCCACCATCAGTTATGTTGTATTCTCTATTCTCTCCTGAGCTAGTTATTAATTATGGAGACTGCAGAGATGAAGTCCAGACTCTGCTAATGGTTGACTTCCCCGTGTCTTACAAGAAGCATTTCAGAGACCTGCTAATGGTATTTCTTAGCTTTGCTTTTTTAAGCTCTGCTGTCGTCTGGGTTTCTAGCCTGAGCGTGGCAGCGAGGCAGACAACGCTGTTTAAATGTCAGCTGAAGCCTGGCTCTCTGGGCAGCCCCTGGTTGCAGGGCACACCTCTGTGACACCCCACTCATCTCCCTGGGTTCAAATTTCTTCCCAGGGCAGCAAGATGGTTGATACTTTAACCGTGGCATCTGGATTTCCCCGAGCTTAGAGAATCAGGGAGCAAATCCACGGTGAACGCTGTGCCCGTACCCTGGCCCCAGCCATCCTCAGAAATCACCTCTTTGCTCTTAGCCACCGGCTTCCCTCCCAGCCTGGGAGCCTGGCCAAACCCCAGTGCTATCTCATCTTTTGTCTCCCAGCCTCATTATTCCTTCCCCGCTTCTCCCAGTGCTGGGCTCGCTCCTCCCTGCCCCATCCAGACTGCGGACGTTGTCGGTCGGCCTCGGCGCCGGCTTTGTCTGCCCTTTGCTCTCCCTGCCCTGTGGTGTGATCCCCTCGTCCCTGCTGCTGCCGCCTGTCCTCAGAAAGATACAACTCTCCTTCTTCCATCTTGTTCCTAATCCAGTTTCTCAGGAGAGAAAGATTTGGCAAAACGAAAACAATAAGAGCGTGAAATTTTCTCCTTTTCGGTTTTTCCAGCTCTGCCTCTCCGTACCCTCTGAGATTTATCCCTGGTGTCGGATGCCAGCGCTGGCCCGGGAGTCTCTGGTCCTGTTTTGCAATCACCCAGCAGCTCAGGCCTTCCTGTAAGTGCCCCGATGGTCACAGGGAAGGAATGTTCCCCCGGCCGCATGGGGAAAGGTCACCACGGGCAAAGGGGACGCCGGGGCCGGGCGAGCGGCTTTGCTGATGAGAGCAACGCTGATCAGCACAGAGCCAAAAATGTCTTGACTTACAGGAGAAATACATATAACAAGAAAAAAAACACCACAACAGAAAAAACGGTTCAAGACTTTTTAAGTATTTTCAGCAAGGCCTCTCTTCCTCTCTCGGGACGTAGCGCAGAGCTTATGCTGTGCCCCAGCAAAGTCCAGGAGGACGCGTGTGTCTTTCATCGCTGGAGCGCGTTTGCTGTTGAATTTGCTCCCGAAAACATCTGCCTGTCTCTCTCGAGCGGCATCCGGGCTGGTGGCACTCGGACTGAGCAATACGTTCACATTGCCCTCATGTCTTGTCGCTCTCTTCTCTTCCTGCCAACAAATCTCTCCTCTGAATGCAACTCGGAAAGAAAGCTGCGACTCGCCGTGGCTGCGGCAGAGTGGGGGGATTAGCATCCAGCATTAAGGGCTTAATTCCTCAGCTCATCCCTGCCAGCCCAGGGTTTCAAGTAACACCATCATGCCTTTTTCTTCCGCCCCCGATCGTTTGCAGCCTGCTTTAATAATGTCCTTTACACACCGTTCTCTGGGCTGCGTTTGCCAAGCTTGAGCTTGCTCCTAGTGCTTTGTTTTCGGAGCGTGGCCTGTTTGTTGGCTGAGCTTCGTGGGGACGCTGGTCACATTTAGTGGGGCGGAGCAGAGGAAAGAGGAATTTTTAGGTTGGGCTTATAAACTGAGTTTTTCAAAATTCTCAGTGTGTTTAAAAAAAAAAAAAAAAAAAAAGAATTCTGGCCTTTGGTCTCTAGGTTACGTTTGCCTCTGCTGTGGCTGAGCTCATGGAAAATCGCAGCTTAGCTCCTGCACTCAGTGCCAAGATTAGAAGGTTTAAAAAATAACCGATAACATCTTTGTAAACTTGGAGTCGTTTTTTGAAAAGCCTGCTGATCCTTCCAGCCTGGATTTTGAAGCTTTCCTTGAGATACAAGTGAGCCAAGCGGGATGATGGTTTCTGCCCTGAAAAATCATCCCTCAGGAGCGTTGCCTTCAAATAGCCCAAGGGAGGAAGGAGGCTGCTGTTCCCAGAGGCCCCCAAGGGTGTGTGTTGGGATCCTTCTCCCTCTTCCTAACCAGATACACAGCACAGGATGACGCTCTGCACGTAACTTACAATAATCACTGGTTTTATTTTTTAAAAAATTACAATAGAAAAGTACCTTTAAACGTATTTCCAAAAGCGGAGTAGACAATGTGGAAGCTTCTCTCCTCTCCGTAAGACAAAGTACAGGAAATAGTTTGCTAAAAGAGTTAGTCCATCGCTTGGAAACGCTGGTATCGTTCCTTTTTAAAGCCGCTCAGAGGTTTCTCTTGGAATTGATTTCTTCTCGCGTCGCCTTTATCAATCCCACTTTTTACAGAAGACTCCAAAGGGACAGTTTCCCATCGCACCATCTGGCCACCCGCCCTGCCCCCCCAGCAGCTGAAATCTCAGCCGTCTTTATTTCGGCCCACCCATGGAATAAAAGGAAAGAGGAAGAAAAAGGTTATGATGTTTAACAAGGCCACGGGCACCCTGTGTCTTCAATGCAGCTGGAGAAACCGGCTACAGTGGAGCCTGGAGAGCAGCTGAGTTCGGGGTACCCTGCAGCCAGGCTGTGGCTGGCGGGGGGAAGGCAATGAAAGGAGAGGACTTTTGTACCTCCTTTTCCAAGAAACCAAAATCTGGTTTGGTTTGCTTAGCTTCGCTCTTTTCTTTTTTCCAAATTCCTCCTCGAGCAAAGGAGGAAAAATGGAAATGGTACGCAGCGAGAGCTGCCGGACCGGCATAACCTTGACACTAAAACCTGGGTTCAGCCCAGCACTTTGGTGTAAAGGTAGGCACGTCTCTAAGCCTCTCGGCTTGCTCGAGACTCGTGCCCAACCTCGAGTAAACTGGTGAACCGTGGGTTTATTGTTTGTTTTGGCTTGTTTTTTTTCTCATACAGCAGTTTACGTTCCCTGTAACAACTTCAAGCATTCATGGCAGGAGGAGGAGGAGGCAAATTGTCACCTTGCTACATGTGGGGGCTGTCTCTGCCCATCCCTGATCGGAGCCGTTGTACCATGCCAAAGCTTTGCACAGCAAGCTATTAACATAGCTCTAAGGTAAAAAAAAAAATCATATTGACCATAAGAAAGTTTCTGATTGTCCTGGCCTGGTTGTCATTTGGTACAACTGGGAAGAAAAGGGTAATACTGTAAGTGTCTGTAGACATCTTGCTGACGCAGCCGGAGCGAGCAGTTCCTACAAACCCAAATCGTGCCTCTCGACACTTGCACGCACGTGAGCATCGTGCCTTGGTCATGCAGCTGATGGGGCGGGCTAGGGGGGAGGGTAGAGACTCTTAATTGCACGCATTCGAAAGTCAAGCACAAAAGGTGTGGTCCGACCCAGTGTAAGATTGTCCTATTTAGGAGGTTTGCTACAAAAATACTTGCTCTCGTTTTGCTGCTGCTTTTTTTTTTTTTTGTAGTCTGCTTTCCTATGGTTCTGTTTGAAATGAGTTTTCAAACACTACAGCAATGCCTGTCAAACCATGCTTTCAGAAGTAACACA